CATGGCCGGCGCTGAGACGGGGAGGAGCCCGAGGTGGGGCCGCCTCGGAGCCTTGGGGCTGGCTGGTGGCTCGGGGGGGCCGGGGGTTTCCAGCCACCACTGCCTGCTGCACCGAGCCCGGCCCCCCCCCGGACCCCCGCATGGACCCCGGAGCTCTGCCCTGGCTGGGTGGAGGTGGAGGCTGAAGCTGCTGCTGCCCTGATCTTCCTGGTGGCTTTGGCTCTGCCAAACCCCCCAGCCTTGGCGTCACATCTCGGTGCACTGGTGACTCTGGGGGATGTTCTTTGGGGCAATGTCTCTGCTTGGTGACTGGTAGTCTGGGGAGCCCAGGTCCCTGGGTGGCACCTCAGCTAGTTTGTGGTCTGGGCTTTGTCTGCTGGGATTTAACCACTATTCCAGTGAGGTTTTGCTTCCTTGAGTCCTCCAGAGTGTTTATCCCAGCACGCAAAGTGATTTTTGGAAAGGATTTTGCTTGTCTCCCTGGACCAGGAGACAGAGCAGGAGCAGTGTGGTCACACACAGGTCAGAGCTGACCCCAGGTTCCTCCCTCTGCCCCACAGGCTAGCAGGAACAGCCTGGCAGGGTCCCTCTCGGATAGACGCGGATGATGCCAGAGCTATGACAGGGATTGCAGTCTTGGCACTGAGGGGTGATCAATTATGGAACAACTACAGGAGGAAGTACCTGAGGTCAAGGAAGAGGAAGAGGAAGAGGCAGTGAGGGTGGCAAGTGGAGCCTCGGACCCAAGTGGAGGACCAGACAGCTTGCTGCCTTCAAGCAGCTACACTGGTGAGTAGAGCAAAGGGGCTTGTCTGTCCCTGAAGCATCCAGGCATCCACATCCTCCAGGGTACATGCTGAGCCACAGAGGCAGAGGGACCTGCCTAGGAATGGAGTTTGGCTCATTTTAATCTCTTCCCTTTGTGAAGTAATACACTGAGAGCTGAGCTGTGGAGAGGCCTGTTGTACCCCTGATGGGGAGCACTCTCAGGGTGCTTCCCTGGCCACTTCTTGAAATCCTCAGTGTAAACTGATTGTAGGAACTGGAGGAGGTTTGTTGTTGCTGAAGAGGTTCCTGCAGAGCCCTGGGTGTTCCAGCTTGGCAGCCCCATGTCTCTCCCACATCAACTGGGGATTATAAAATGTGCTGGTTTGGTTTCATTGCCTAGGCATGAAGGCCAGAGGGGAGAGATAAGCATTGATGTAGAGTCTCTCTGGTGCTGCTGGGCACCCTGGCAACACTCTTGGCTCTGTGCATGGCACCTGCCTGCAGCCAGTGCCTGATCTCTGAGGTGTGCCCAGACAGCGCCACTGGCAGGCTGGGACGGTGCTGGAAATCCCTCGGGATCCAGCCCCATGGCTGGATGAGTTAAGACACCGGGCTGGGTTTTTGGCTCTTGCAGGAAAGGACATGTCCCTTTTTGTGCTCGCAGACATTTCACAGAGCTCCTCTCCCTCCCTGTCGGACCAGCTGCAGATGGGCTGCGAGGAGGCGGCCTCGGGAGCGCTGAGCGTGGAGTGCAGGGTCTGCGGAGACAAAGCCTCGGGGTTCCACTACGGCGTGCACGCCTGCGAGGGCTGCAAGGTACCTCCCCCTGGGCAGGGCTGGCTGCAACATCAGCCAGAGGGTGGGCCCCCGGGAACCTGCCATCGCTTCCGACGAGGAGGTTGGCAGCCAAGCAGGGATGCAGGATTGAATGACTGTTAAAAAAAATAAATCATTTACAACCTGCCTGGAGAGCGTGGGGTCCAGAGGCAGGCACACAAGTACTGTCCTGGGGGTGGCAGCTGGGGTGTGTTGGGCCCAAATCTTACCCCCTGATGCTTTATTTTGTAAGACAAAGTCATCTGTCCCCTGGAGGACCTGGGCTTTGCTTTTAAAGACACTTCCTGCACTGCAGATGAGCAGTGTTGTTTATCCCCTGGGATCGCTGGCCACAGCTTGGATGTGCCTGTGAAATTCCTTCCCCTGCAGCAGATGCCAGCAGGGCTGTGTTTGCAGCCCAGGTCTTACTAGACATTCCAGCAGGCTGGGCCCTCCCTGCAGCTCGTTCCTCCACCCCTCCCTGCTGGCTGCCTGCAGAACCACACTGCCCTGGGCCCTGCACCCTTCCTCCCTTCTCCCACCCCACAACCTCCCCTTGTGAGATAGACACTTTTCTTGTGTCAGAGCCAGGGCTTCTCCTCCCCACCAGGCTGGACTTCCGTGAGGGGGATAATAAACCAGCCTGGTCCTGAACCACAGGTGCTCACAGTGCTGTTCCCTTGTCCCCCTGCTCTGTGTCCCCCTGGTGCCACCTGCCTGCAGGGCTTCTTCCGCCGGACCATCCGCATGAAGCTGGAGTACGAGAAGTGTGAGCGGAGCTGCAAGATCCAGAAGAAGAACAGGAACAAGTGCCAGTACTGCCGCTTCCAGAAGTGCCTCTCCCTGGGCATGTCACATAACGGTGAGTGTCATCCCCCCTTGGCAGGCCTGGCCAGCTAGGTGCCATGGGGACATCTGCCCCGTGGAGGGTGTGTGGAGGTCACTTTATCCCATGGATCTCTTCTTTTAAACCCAGTGCTTTGAGCCTCTGGCTCTTCATCCCCTTCTCCTGTCCAGTCTTCATTCCCACCCTGCAGCCTGGCTGTTGTCACATGGATGTCCCTTATGGGTTGACCCAGAGGGAACTGGACACACAGATTGCTCTTCTGTACTGGCATTTTTAAACTTCAGGTGTAACCATCTTGTTCCTGGCCAAGCCAAGGTGTTTATATGGGAAGTGGGGTTTGTGTAGAGAGCCCTGAGGAGCAAGGATGGTTGCTGAGTGTGAGGCCACGTTGGTAGCAGCTACGGCTGGTTCAGAAAGGTGTCCATGCTGGAGGAGCTGCAGCTCTGGAGAAGCACCGTGTTGCAGGTGTTCTGCAGCAGACCTCTGGGGTGGCAGAGCAGACTTCTGCCTCCCTGGGCACCTCATCCCCAGTGTTCTGACCCCCGTTTTTGCCCCCCCAGCAATCCGCTTTGGCCGCATGCCCGAGGCAGAGAAGAGGAAGCTGGTGGCAGGGCTGACGGCGAGTGAGATCAGCTGCCAGAACCCCCAGGTGGCCGACCTGAAAGCTTTCTCCAAGCACATCTACAACGCCTACCTGAAAAACTTCAACATGACCAAAAAGAAGGCGAGAGGTATCTTGACCGGGAAGGCCAGCAGCACCCCAGTAAGTTCTCCCTCCAGGGCAGGTGGGGTTGGCCATGACCAACATGGTGGGGCCATTCTCTAGGAGGTGCTGCACATCTGCCTCCTGCTGTAGGTGTTCCACGTGCACCAGATCCCAGCTGCAGCCAGGTGGGCTCCACACATCCTGCCCCTCATTGGGAAAATTCCCATTGCTCTGCAGCCCTGTGCTCTTGTGGATGCAGATTGCCCGGGCACTTTCAGCCCCAGAGAGGGAGAGAGGACAGACAGCAAAGGGACAGGCAGACAAAAGCAGGTGTCCTTGGCAGAGCTGGCATCTCGAGTCCCCACTACAGGTTCCTAACCATTTGCTTCTTTTTTCAAGCAGCCTTTTGTGATCCACGACATGGACACCTTGTGGCAGGCAGAAAAGGGGCTGGTGTGGAAGCAGCTGGTGAACGGCATCCCCCCCTACAAGGAGATCGGGGTGCACGTCTTCTACCGCTGCCAGTGCACCACGGTGGAGACTGTGAGGGAGCTGACAGAGTTTGCCAAGAGCATCCCCAGCTTCGTCGGCCTCTACCTGAACGACCAAGTGACTCTGCTGAAGTACGGGGTGCACGAGGCCATCTTTGCCATGCTGGCCTCCATCATGAACAAGGACGGGCTGTTGGTGGCCAACGGGAATGGCTTCGTGACGCGCGAGTTCCTGCGCAGCCTGCGCAAGCCCTTCAGCGAGATCATGGAGCCCAAGTTCGAGTTTGCTGTGAAGTTCAATGCGCTGGAGCTGGATGACAGTGACTTGTCTCTCTTTGTGGCTGCCATCATCCTGTGTGGAGGTGAGCGGGTGCTCGGGAAGAGTCCTTCTGTACTCAGAGGTGGTTTGGGCTGGGCTGGGGGAGTTGAGCTGCGGCTGGTGCTGCAATCAGCCTGGGGTGTGTCTCAGAGAGACCAGAGAAGAACTGAACAGTTCCAAAACCAAAGCTTCTTCATGGTGGTGATGCAAGCTTGGACCAAGAACAAGGAACATCTCTTCGTGTGCTGCTGTGGGAAATGTTGTTCAAGGGCACACTTCTCCTCTTGTCTAGTTGACAAGGTTGGAGTCACAGTGGGTTACAGTCCCCATCTCCCTTTCCCCAGGAGGAGCATGTGCTTTGGAGAGCTACACCATAACATTACAGCTCCTGTGAGGGCTACTCCATAACACTACAGCTCGCGTGAGGGCTGCACCATAACACTACAGCTCGCGTGAGGGCTGCACCATAACACTACAGCTCCCGTGAGTGCTGCACCATAACATTACAGCTCCTGTGAGGGCTACACCATAACACTACAGCTCCCGTGAGTGCTGCACCATAACATTACAGCTCCTGTGAGGGCTACACCATAACACTACAGCTCCCGTGAGGGCTACACCATAACACTACAGCTCCCGTGAGGGCTACACCATAACACTACAGCTCCCGTTCCTCTCCACAGACCGTCCCGGCCTGATGAACGTGAAGCAGGTAGAGGAGATCCAGGACAACATCCTGCGAGCGCTGGAGTTTCACCTGCAGTCCAACCACCCGGATGCCCAGTACCTCTTCCCCAAGTTGCTGCAGAAGATGGCTGACCTGAGGCAGCTGGTGACAGAGCACGCCCAGCTGGTGCAGAAGATCAAGAAGACTGAGACAGAGACATCTCTGCACCCGCTTCTGCAGGAGATCTACAAGGACATGTACTAAGGACCTGTTATTTATGAGAATGAAGCCATGGATTCCCATCAAGACTCTTTGTACAGAAACAAAGACAACCTTTCCCCACGTCTTCCATTTCTTCTACTGGAAACTCTTTTCTACGTGACCCCCACGTACGGTACCACAGGGTGAGAGGCCGGGAGGTTGTGCAGGCACCGCCAGGGCTTCCCCTAACACACACTAACACACCCACCCAGGCAAATCATAAGCTACTGTTTCCGTTACTACAACCCAGCCCTTCAGCTGCTCCCCCTAGGGGCCTCTGGAGCAGCCAGCTGGTTTACATGGCCCGGGCAGTGGGAAATCCTGCAACAGTTTGGGAATGGTGTGGGACGCTGAGCTCGCGGGGAGACCCGGCGGGACCAGCCCCAACACTTGCAGTGTGTCTTTATTTTCTTTTTTATATTGCACTCCGAAGGTGGAGTCCTGAGCCGTGGGGCCCAGGGCAGTGTTAAAAGTCTTTTCTCCTTCCCAAAGAAAAAGGCAGTGTTTGAAGATGGACAGGGCTGTCCCAGCTGAGACCCTCTGCTGCCCCCCCCCAGTCGCTGTGCAGCTTATTCCTGTCTCCCTGAGGGAATCCTGGGGTCTCTGCCTTCCCCTGAGTGCTGTGTGGAAACCCTGGTACCCCCCTTTCAGAGGGACCCTGCCCCTCAGGACCGCAGTGTGAGAGAGGGAGGGAGGGGGAGGTGGGAGGGAAAGGCTTTGACTCATAAAAATTCACCCTCAGAGCAGAGGCCAGATCCTGTTGGCCTCCCCAGGCAGTTCTGTACAGGTGTGAGTTACCAGAAGGCCCGTGCAGGGCCAGGGGCAGGGTGGGGTGTAGGTGGCCGGGCTTGCAGTTCCCTTCCAAGTCCCGGGGGGCTCTGGGGGTTTTGCAGGGCAGCCTGTGGCAGCAAAGTCTTCTCAGCATCACCCCGTGAGCACGGGAGCAAGCAAAGAGGAAAGCAAAGCCACAGGGAAGCTCACAGGGCACTGGTCTGTCTGTCGACTGCTCTGCCTCAGTTTCCCCTCTGTGAAAGGGAGCTGGATTGTCAACCTGCTCTCTGCTGAGAGCAGGAGGATGAGGATTAATCAGTGCATTGGTTGCAAAGAGCTTTGCAGCTGTAAACCACAGTATAAATGCCAAGCATTTATAAAAGAAGAGCGAGAGGATGGGTCAGGGGATGGCCCTGCCTTCCTCTACCACCACCCTGAGTGTGGGGACAGCTCCAGGTTTTGGGTCTGCTGAAACCCAGAGCTGCTCTGGGACTTTCCTTCTCAACTTCCTGCAGATGCAGTGAAACCCGCGGTACTGCCCAGGACTGGGACCCGACCCCTGGGCAGGGGCTGAGTCACCCGGGTCCTGGGAGAGAGGACAGACCCGGGAAGGGCTCGTTCCCTTCTTGGGATGATGGTGGGAAGGGCTCAGTCCCCTCTTGGGATGACAGTGTCTGTCCTAAGAAGTGGCACTTGCCCAGCTGCGGCTCATGGTCCTGTGAGTCCTGAGCAGCCTTATTAAAACACTGCTATTCCCAAGGAGGGGTTGCAGGAGCAAATGAAGATGGTTTTAGTTTCCTTTCCTCCTCTTCAGGGTAGCAGGTTTCCCTGGTGCAATAATTCCTTTCAAACCCGAAGGGGAAAAGCGCTGGGCTTCCCCTCCGTGTCCCAGGCCTGACTGGTCCCACAACCCGCCCCAGCTGCCACCCTCTTCCTCCTTGCCGTGCCTCAGTTTTCCCCCCGCCTGCCCAGCCCCCTCCCCTCCCTACCTCGCAGGGCTGTTACCAGTTTCTAAAGCACTTTTAAGCCCTTTGTGCGGGACAGAGCCCCGGGGGATTTGTCCTTCCTGAAGCCCCCGATGGCCCCCCCGGGCCATGGCTGGTGTGTGGGGCTGGGTGTTAATCACCCGGGGCAACTTTTTGCTCTTCCCTCCTCAACAGTGTAACAACCCTCAAACTGAAATGTATATTTTTGCTAGAAGTACAAACCTCCAAGTGTTTTTAATAATATAAATAGTGTCCACAGACTGACTTGACTTTAAATAAAACTGAACTAAATATTTAAGAACTTTTTAGAGTCCAGCTTTTCTATCTGGGATTTCTCTCGACCCCTGGAGGGGGGTGGGGGCGGCCCTTGGGAGGCTTTCCAGGAAAGGTGATTGGTTTTGCTGTGATTTCCAGGGTTTTGCCATTTCCCAGGTCTGGTGGCTGCTGTGGTTTTCCTGCCTGTGTTTCCCATCAAACCTAAAAGCAGGGAGAGCCGGTTCCCAGCGGGATCCCAGCCTCAGAGCCGAGCACTCCCAGCTCCAAATCTTTGCCCTCGGCCCTTGGGGGGGTAAAGCTGGGCAATGAGCTGCCCCCTGGCTTTAGCCACCCCCAGGATGGGGGAGGATGGGTGAGGATGGGCTCAGGGACAGCCCGGTCTTGTGCTGGCACCGGGCTCTGCTCTCTGCCGGCTCTGAGCACCCCAGAGTCTGCAGGGTGCAGCTCCAGACCCCCCGGCTTCCCTCTCCGGGGGGTTCTAATGCCCGACCGTTGTCCCCAGCCTTTCCCGTGCAGCGGGGATGGCACAGAAAGCCCTGAAGGTCAAGGTCCCCCTGCGTGAGGGGAGCGGCAGGGCGAGGGTTAAGGTGCTGTGCCCTCCGGGCAGGGGACGGTCACCTGGGTGGGGAGGGCTGTGCCCACCGGCCCATCCAGGGCTATAAGTAGCCCTGGGAGGTCGCCCAGCCCTTTTGGCTGCTGAGGAGATGGAGCCGCGCTCGATGGTGCCATCCGGGGCGTTCAGGGTCCGGGGGGGCTGCCTGAGACCCCTGTGCAGGTAGGATTTGAGGAGCGGGCAGGGGGTGGCTCCTGGGAGCAGCTTTTGTAGGAGATGGAGCTGCGAGCCCCTCGCTCTGCGGGCAGAGATTTGTGATGCCCTCGGACCCTCCCCCCCCCGTCCCGTTTCCCCTGGAGGGGACAATCAGAGCCTGTTTCTCCGCTTTCCTCCACCCTCGGAGCTGGGGGTCCCTGGGGGTCACCTTTCCAGCC